AGGGAGAGCAAACTAAATGAGCCAGTGAATAGGAGAAAAAACTTGAATTTATGTTGGATTATCTTTCATTTCTTTTGAAGAGGCGAGTAGAAGGGAGATTATAAGCTTTTATTCAGAAGAAAATCACATGTGGAAATACTCTTCAGTTTTCAGTCTTATCACAACTACAGAATTAAGTTCGGATTAATGATGATTTTGATCATCAGAAGCTTAAGACTAACCGACAGAGAGTTTTGGGACTAGGATTTTTCTTGGTAACGCGTATCCAAGAGAATTCAGAGAGAGAAGTATAGCGATCATAGGGAGCAGATTGAAAATTGGATATTGTGAAAATGAAATCAGGAATCGAGAGGTCGACTAAAAGTGGATATACTAGGCCTCATGTAAACTGAACCAAAAATTGTGACCAAATATCTGTATGACATGAAGAAATCTCGGTCTGAGAATCAAGGAGCATCAAAGATTCTGCAGAAACGTGGATACGGAAAGATACGAAATAGTGGAACACATTGCACGGGCGGAGCACAGAATCGACTGGAAATCGACAGAAATGTTGCTACATATTGTGTAAATCAGGAAAACACAAGATGTGAGAAGCCATCGTTATAGTGACTGAAATCAATCTAATAAAAGGAGACTTCAATTAGGCTGGATTAGCGAAAAGTTTGCATATTGCTTGAGCAAACTCGGAGAAGATCAGACAACTGTACGATTATCCAAAAGACGACTACCGGATCAACTGATATTTTTTTATTTCAGAAAGAAAAATCGCAATAAGACCAGAATGGAACAATCGGAAACCATGAGGAGACGTCTATAGTGAGCCTAATCAAAACAAGTTTAACTACAAATTTTGTATGATAGCACACAAGTTATTAGGACATAGGAACTCACGTACTGAGAAGTAAGTTTGCTTCTCTATAAATTATGCTTTGTTGAGCTGACGTTGTCTATAATGACTGACAAAGACTTAGCGTACGGGTCAGAGGACATTTAGCTGGAGTCTTCTTTATAAAACCTTAGAGTCACAACTCCAAGGCAGTCTTCCTTCAGTTTCCAGTAAGGATAATTTTCAAATATATTCGAAAAAAGATGAAAGCTATATCATCATCACCTTATTAATTGATTCTTCGAAACCCAACTTCTCCTACGTATTCTAATGTTTATTTTGCTTCTCATTTCTTATTGTCTTAGATGTAAATTAATATTTATTAATTAAGTAAGCATATCTCCCTCATCCGTTAACTCCTCGAATGTGTGCTCATTCAAGTCTTTTTGTGAGTCTTATCTGCTTAACTTCATTCTCACGTGCTTGAATTCGCGCGTCCGCTTCTTTTTTACTGTGCATTTGTGTTTTTCACACTTGCAGGTCACAGAGGTCCTATCAGCGGTCTGGCTTTCTGTCCAATTGTCGATACCACCAGTAATGAGGCAATAGAACTGGCTACAGCCAGTTGGGATGGCACAGTGCGCATCTGGGATCTGACGGCTGGGCTTACGTCAGCAGGACTTGGCCAGGAGGAAGTGGCAGTTGGCATGGGCGGTACCAAAGAAGTTATTCAACTCGATTCTGACGGTACCTTTTTCTTGCTTAAATATGAATACGGGTTCTTCTAAATGTTTTCCATCAGTTTTAAATCCCAAAAAATATCATAGCCATTTTTGTTAGTCGATTTGTGTCTCAGTAATATTGCTACTTGCTTTATGTCATCCAATCTTTTATTGCTTTTATTTCTCTTCCGCCTATGATAAAAATATACTCAGTATCCTTCAACAGCTTTTTTACCTTTTTATCCATTTGTAATGTCTTTCTATAAGTAACTCAATATTTCTTGGGGATTTTATAGGAAGGAAAAATCAGTATCTGACACAAGTCCAGTGCATATCTTTAAAATTTGGCTTTATAAAGTCTCTTAATCATTTAATATATTTGGGCCATATATTTAATATGAAAAGTCGAGTAAAATGAGATTTTTATATCAGACTTGCAATTACAAAATTGTATTTGAACTACATAGTCCTCGACGCATCATAGTCCGATTTGAACAAATTCGTGTTGAGCTTTCGTTTTTTTCTTCATGGTAGATAGTCATATTGCTCATCCATTTTTCAAAAAATGAAGCCTAATTTAACAATTGTGATCATTCATACTCATACTCCTAAATTTTCTTTGAGACTAACGTTCTTTGTCTTTTGGTGATGAAAATTAACGAATCCCCTACACTTAACTTCAATACGAAATAATAGGCCAAATGATAATTCCCATGTATTAGAATGTCTAATTTATTGAGGTCTATCTCAGTAATATTTTCCTTTTTGAAACCGCATTGTTGTGATTGTGCTTTGGTATTCTGCCTTGGAGGAGGATTTTGCGCTTTTCCCTGTGTTATGTAGGAATATTCCGATGATTTTATTTTACAGTATATTTTTTATCCACCAGGTCTACTTCCTTTGCTGGTCTATCAGCTTAATAGTTCAACTTTTCTCCACCTTAGTACTCATTGGGCATACTTTCTAAAAGCTCTTATCCCAGCACCTTCAGCGAGAACCCCAATTTTGGTAAGTTCATCTTTCGCACGTCCTTACCCACCCTATCCATTCTTCTTTTTGTTCATTTTTTATTCTAGCACTATGTCTGGCTTATCGGAACGACGGCCGACAGCTAGCTGCAGCTCTTTTAAACGGTAGCATCGTCTTTCTGGATCCACAAGAAGGGAATACTCTTGGAAGTATCGAGGCCAAGCACTGTCTTGGCGCTGCTATGACAAGCAGCGATGATCTGGTAACTCCGAAACGAGCAGCCAAAGAACGGTAATTACTATTTATTGTATGTTTTGTGTTTCAATTTTATTATTCGGCTATCTATCATTTTTTTACATTCCTCTAAGTTTTTTTAGTGTTGCTCCACGAATTATCTCTATGCTTATGGTCATTTCTTCTTTGATGGGCATCATTATACCATCAAGCCTTTGGCTGATTATTAATAATAAGGTAAAGGGACCTTTTTTATCCCTCTTAAAACGGCTCATTGGCTGTATGCTTCTCTCTTTTATTTTCTTGGCAACTCATTATTCAATTCGATCTCGCTATTACTGCTTTTAGCTAGCCGCTTTAAAGCTGCTTATTCGCCAATTTTATCAAACGTGGCTCAGGGGACACA